TTTTATAAGCCTTATATTGCTGCTCAGAAGTTCAAAGAAACAAAAATGTTCCACAAAATCTCACCTTCAGGATGCACCACAACGGTGCTGGGCTTCATTTGGTTTTGTACAGCCTCGATTTCCTGCCTCGCACCAGCACATAAGTGGTGCAAAAGCAAACCAGTAAGCCCCAGAGATGAAAATGTAACTGGTGCTTATATGTGGAAAGGATTGTCTGTGTTATTGGTAATTTTGTGTGGCCATGGTGATTAGAAGGTTCCCTGGTGGCATAACAGTTAAACGATAAGGTCAGTGGCACATCGCTCTGCAGGAGAAAAGGCAGGCTGGGTAAGGCAGTTCCACTGCTCTGAGGTAGAGCCGACTCCATGGCGCAGTGACAAGGTGACTAGGATGGCCTGCGTCCAAGAACGGCAGAACAAGCCTTGCAGTCATGCCGTGTACGGCTGATTGTTTTATAGTGAGTTGAAAAAGAAAGCTGTGAGATACCGTAATCCAAACTCTGGGTGTTGAGAGGACCTTGACAATAAGCACGTGTTAACTTTTCTGACGGCTGCTTTCCTTCAAGTAGATCGTCATTAGAGGCTGGGATGATGTAGAAGTATAGCTTCCCACATTTATCATAGTTTTCTTTTCCCCCCAATAGTTTTATTGGTATAAAATTCACATATCAAACAATTCCATAGTTCAGTCATATCAAGAAAAGTTGTACTGTCACCACCACAATCAATTTTAGAACATTTTCTTCATTCTTATACTCATCATTATTAGCACCCTAACCATAAGCTTATCAAATGAAACCGTGTTTTCAGTTGTGTAACCGTGATTCAGAAAGATTGACATTTGTGGGGTACAAAAAGGCTTTCCATAGTTTGACTCCCCCCTCTGTCAGACCTAGGACAATGCTTGCAACACATAGTAAATGATTGTAGCACACTTGGAAGCAAGCTGGTTAGAAGTTAACTACCTGAAGGCATCAGCCATCCAGAGCAATCAGACTACTGTCTGGTCCACAGTAGGTGGGGCTCACACCTTACTGATATGGCTAGTGATTGTTTACCTGGAGAGCCCAAAGAATAAGTCCAGCCAGCTCAAGGACTAGCAAGGTTAGGCTGCCATCTTGAATCTAGGATCCGCCAATTTTGTCATATATGTACCCCTAATCCCTCCTCTTGCTCTTACGTGTACTCCCCTAGTTTGCCCCCCCCCCCCAATTGCTGTATTGCCTATGGTACAACCCCTTCCTATGACGTGTGTGGTTACCTAAGTATGTATATCCCTTGGTTAGAAATACCGTATATACTTGAGTGTAAGCCGACCCGAATGTCAGCCGAGGCACCTAATTTTACCACAAAAACTGTGTAAAATATGTGCTGAAAAACTCAGCTTATACACGAGTATATACGGTATACTTTTTCCTCTCGTCTCCCACTTCCATGTGGACCACCAAGAGGTACTGAGGTGAGCATGCTACCATGAATTGTGTCTGACTCCTTTTTTTTTTTAACTTTCTCTCTTACCTTCTATGACTTTACTGTGATCTTTATATGATATAACCATACAATTGCTCCTATGGGACCCCATGGATATTAGAGGCTGGTCTACTCTAAAAGGCATTAAATTCATTAATTTCATGATAACTGAATTTCAGTAAATTTCTGATAAACAATAAAATTGATTAGGGTGAACATTTTTAGAGACCATTATTCCTAAAACCATTAATTGTGTTAACTGAGAAATTTGGTGGCCTGGGGAAAATGTTTCCCAAAACCAAGCTCAATGCCATCCAGGCAATTCTGACTCAGCCACTGAACAGTACAGGGTAGAACTGCACCAGTAAATTTCTGATTCTTTTAAATTATTTACAGGAGTGTGGGCATCTGTGCATTTGCATGTGTGCATACTTTAGCTGACAAGGGACTTCCATTCTGGGATCAAGATAAATAAGTGAAAGGGTATCTGTTAGGGAACAAATTTTCTATGCTAAACTTGAAACTGTGAAACTGGGTAGGAAAGAAAGCAAAAACTTTGGTTACCCTGCCCAGATTTAAAAGTTTTCAATTTAATAACCTTTTTTCATTGTATAGGATGATTTGGGAACATCAACATTAAAAAATAAAACCACAGGGTCTACTAATAGTTCTATGTCATAGTGTTCTCTCAGGAAACAGGCATACATGTGTGCACACATGTACAATGAGTCAAATACTAGGTTATGTGTGTTGATAGCAGTGTTTTTAAACCACATCCCCTCCCCGTAAAACGGGTAAGAGAATTTTTCATCAGTGAGAGAATCCTCAGACGCTGTGAATGTATTTATGTATGATTGTTAAAGAGAGAAACTGGCTGCCAAGCCATGTTTCTGTAAGTGCAGTGTATGTGTAAAGCTTGTCAGCGAGGTCTGAAGGAACGCACAGTGGGGAGTGCTTAAGGGGACATTTATGTATGTTTGGACTAAATGTTGCATAAGAACATATCACTATAAAATGTGTAAGTTTTACAATAGAATGTTTGAGTTGCCTATATTTAAAGGACCAAGTAGTACTTATTTAGACATAATTTTCTTTTCATGATTTTAATAGAAAACTTTCGAACTTGGTACCAATTGCCAGGTTGTACTTCTGCTTCTGTCCTGGAAGACCCCCTTGCCTTTGCCTGAAGATGAGCTGTCAAACATCTCAGTTTAGATTCTTGCATCATTCAGAAAATAGGAGGAGACTTCATCAACTTCCTGGAGAAATCCTATTATCTTTGAATTCTACTTTTCCACATAAAACTTGAAGTTCTTTGTATGTTAATGCCTTCTGGATCCCAGATAGTGTTCTAGCTAGAGCTGCTGTGTGGGGAAACGGAATCTGATTTTTTTTTTTTATGTTATTCTTTTAAAAACTTAACTTTGACTTGAAGATTATGATCAGTATCAAGGAATTATAGGTGTAGAAACTTATTTTCCCCTGCTCTCCTCTTCCTAAAAATCCCCGTTTGTTTCCACGGGGACCCTCAATGAAGCAGAATAAACCACATGCCAAGTTTTCACTAACCTCTGTATTTCAGTCTCTTAGCTTGGTGTAGATTTTTGCTGTGTGTAATCTCAACAACCACAAAACATTTTTTTTTTTTCAACTGTGATACTGTGATTTTGCTGCATGAGAAATATGTTGGAACAGGGAATTTAGAGTGGAGGCTGGTGCAGTAATCCTGGTAAGGTGATAGACTGGGGTAGTAGCTACAAGGTCGAAGGATAGATAAATTTGAGGTATGATTTGGAAGTAAAACTTAGAGTTGGTCATTGAATACTACTAAGTGACCTTTAAGGTTTGCTCCATCTCAGGACACCCACCTACCTCCATGACCATGCCTCTGAAATCCCAAGTTCACTCGTTACACGTTCTGTCAGTGAAATGTGTTTTAATGCTACTTAGATTAGACTTGTGCTTTAGTTTCCAGTGCTTGGGTGCTGTCCGTCAGTCTCTGTCCTCTCCTCCCTCTACACCCTGACCTGGTTGACTCGTGGCCTGCCTGCACAGCATGCACTGCTAACTGCGGGCCCTTTCTGTAGCAATGATCATGTTCTTGTCTTTCCTGCTAGATTGTGCTTGATTGGCTGGATTTATTTCTTGTGATGCCTTCTTTAAAGTGGCCTTCCCCCGTTACTTTTTTTACCCCCACTGGTTGCAACACAAGTGAGAAATGCTCAGGATACAGTTGTTCATCAGTATATGTTAGAGTTCTTTCAGGGTTTCTACTGTATGCCCACAGTTGGCCCACGGCCTGGTTTCAGCTGCTCATACTGAGCTTCTCCATCATCTTTTCCCACAAACATAGTCAATTTGATTTCTGTGTATTCATTCCATGTGAAGAAGTCCACCAGTATAGTGTATAGTTGCCTTTGGGGTTGTTGAAAAGGGTTTTTTACGATTTACAAGTTGTTGGTCTTGCGAAATTCTGTCATGAATCTCCAGCTTTGTCTGTCACCAATATATCCAACTACTATTCCATCCCCTTTGTTTTGCATTCTGATCACCAAATGGCAAGTTCAGATTGAAGACACTGGTAGAATTCTTCAGTTTCTCTATCACTAGCTTTAGAGGTTGGTCTCATTATGCATCCACTACTCCTTTGCAGCTGGGAGACCCAAAAGAAAACAATAAACTGTTGTTTTCTATCGCAGTATGGTGGTAAGGATAAATACATAATAGTATAAAGGCAAATTTTCAAATAAAGCGTAAGAAGGAAAAGACCCCCACAGCATTCAAAAAGACAGGGAAGAAATTTTGTCGTGGAACCAGTAAGAGATACTTGCACCCAGACAAATTCAGGTTGAGTGTATAGGAGGGTGGCCAACTGGCGCAGAGTTTAATCCAGCAAAATCAAGATTACAGTGACTGCCTGATAGTGAGACTGTTCCAAGACTCTTGCCTGGGGCTAGAGCGGACCTGCTGGTGAGTGGCTCAGTCTGACCAGATACTCCCACTGTCCCCCAGAGCCCTCCACAAATCGGTGTTCAGTTTTAGCTCTGATGCTTTTCTCCTCACCATATTTGAATTTTGTAATTTTCATCTTTGGATCACATGCTGGTGTCATGTAATGTTTTAAAGCAGCATAAAACGTTTATTGAGAAGTTACAGCTATAAAGCAACATTTTTATATTGTGTTAAGAATATAAAGAAGTACAACATTTTATTGTCTGTCAACAAAATTTTTAAAAGTGAGGCCATTCCACTGAACTTTTCCTTGGCGTCTGGGATCCTGAACTGGCAGTATTAAATTTAGAACTGTAAAGCTAAGAAGTAGATCCCTGGCATTCTCCATTTTTCATTGGTCTTGTACAACTGCTAATGTAAGTGCCAGGTGAGAGAACCACGAGAGAAGAACCCAGCTATAGCTTGTCCACTTGGGTCTTATGTTGAGCCTACTCTTTAGGATAGATAAAAACATTAGTAAATTTACCTGTGTTAATATTTCATGCCAGATATAATGGTTTGCTTTCTCCCCATCTGTAGGCTAAAGAAATCCTGACAAAAGAATCCAACGTGCAAGAAGTTCGATGTCCAGTCACTGTCTGTGGAGATGTACATGGCCAATTTCACGATCTCATGGAACTGTTTAGAATTGGAGGCAAATCACCAGATACAAATTACTTGTTTATGGGAGATTACGTTGACAGAGGCTATTATTCGGTTGAAACAGTTACACTGCTTGTAGCTCTTAAGGTAATCTCAACTTTATCTTGGGACATTCTGAACTTGGTAAAATGATCCCTCGCCTTCCGTTTCCCAGGGATTGCTGCTTTTCTCCATCTGAAGGTTAGCTTTGAGAACAACACTGGGCATTTAGGAATGTCATTATTCAGGTTTGCACTTATGAGTCATGAGTCTTGTTTTCATTCTGAGTAAGGGGATGGTACAGAATGAAAACAAAAGGATTATTCTCTAAGGAAGAGAATGCCTGTCAGATTTTTTCGAAAAAAATCTTAGCTCATCAGATAGAAACTTTGGTTCAGTAAATTGGGATGTGGCATGGTAATCTAATTACATTCTAGATACTTTTGAAGTATTTTGCCGGATTTTTACCCTGACCCAGTAATATTATACTTAAATGTTTACTGAGGATGAAATTGTAATGGGAAAAGAAACTTTACTTATGAAGAGTGCAGCATTTTTATTATCACAAAAGACAAAAATTGATTTAAGTATCTAGTAGGTGGGTATCTAACTCACAGTTTATCTCAAAGGAGTATTTTGCAGCTATTTAACATGACAGTATTTCAGAACAGTAGAAATGAGTAAGAACAAGTTGAAAGTTGATAGTGAATACCACTGTGATGTGTGCAGAGGAAAATTTTCTAGCCAGCAAAGCTCTTTATTAAACAGTGCAGAATGGTGAATTGACTGTCACAAATTCAATTTTAGAGAAGCAGCAAGGAGTAGTTTTGGCAGGAGATAAACTTTAGGTAATTAATATAATGAAGGCGTTCATAGACCTACTAATCGGAATCATGTAAAATGTTACAAAACATGTTATGTATCTGTTGTAAAAGCAGGGAGTGGATTTGATGATGGATGTGTCGACCATGAGAGTAAGCAAACCTGTGCTTAAAGCTCAGGATGAATCCCATTGCCCAAAGAGGGATGAATGTATGCTATTTGTAAGAATTCATGCATGGGGGAAAGGATTGCCCTATAATAAGTGCTGCTGACTCATTGGGGGTCCATATACAAAAAGTGAACTTAGCATTTTACCTCATACCGCAAACGAGCTGGTAAAAATGCGAAAATTACAGCTATAAAACTTGTAGGAAGACAGAAGGGAAAATCTTGTGGCTTGGGTTTCTTACCAGTTTATTAAAGTTGATACTAAAGTTTCTATTTCATAAGACTAGGATTTTATCAGAATTCAACAGTTTCCATTAAGATAAAGAAAAGTCATAAACCAGTAGAAAACATTTACAAATCATGTTTGTGATTAAATACTTATATCCAGATTGTGTGTGTGTATATTTTAAAACACAACTTAATTATAAAGTTCAGTTTGAAAATGGGCAAATTCCCTGCAGAGCCTCCCCAAAAAAAGAAAAAAAATGGACACACTATTTTAATTATCTTTTAAACATGTCACTGAAGGAAATGTAAATGGTCAAAAGGTTCTTCTACACCATCAGTTACCAGGGACATTAAGCTGCAATGAAATACTATTTCATACCTTTGAAAATGGCTTTAAATCAGCAAGATTTATTATATCAAATGTTGATGGAGAAATTGGAAACTATATGTTGCAGATAAGAATATTTATGAAGTGGTACAAGCACTTTGATAAACAGCTTAGCAGTTTCTCAATAAGGAGAACACATATTTACCACGTGACCAGGAATCATACCCCAAGAGTACAAAATCATGTCCCTATAAAAACTTACAAGCGAGGCTCATAGCAACATTATTCATAATAGCAAAAAGAACCCCCCAAAATTCAAATGGTCATCAGCTGGTCATGGGATACATAAAATGGCAAACCCATACATGTAGCAATTAAACAATAAAACCACTAATCTTAGGTACTATAACACATGGCCATCAAAAAGCTAAAGCAAAGAAGCCAGGCACAAGTTTATGTCCCCTTCAGTACGCCAGCTGTGAGTCGACGTTTAGTTGAGAGGAGGCTGGCAGAGACCGGATTACTGTGTGGGAGAGGGAGGGGGGTGAGTTTCAAGCTGTCCTTTGATTTTTGTTGTTGTTTTAGGTTCGTTACCGTGAACGTATCACCATTCTTCGAGGGAATCACGAGAGCAGACAGATCACACAAGTATATGGTTTCTATGATGAATGTTTAAGGAAATATGGAAATGCAAATGTATGGAAATATTTTACAGATCTTTTTGACTATCTTCCTCTCACTGCCTTGGTGGATGGGCAGGTATGTGATTCTTTGAAAACTCAAGTTATTACTTCTTGATGTTTGAGTGCCAGTCACTTTTTTCCCTGTTTTCACATCCCTTTGGACTATTTTGTGCGTGTTGGGGTGGAGGGGAGTGACAGTAGATACTGATAGCACACATTTCAACCCGCATTTTTTTTTTAATACCTTCTTTGTAGCAGGTAAGAAACTATAGGTTCCGATCATTCTGGGAAATTTTAGTAAATGTAGTTGTTACTGGTCCTGTTAGGAGTCATGCAGAGGAAATTTTGTGAGAATGATGTCTTACTCTTTAATTAGGGGTTTAGGGGAAAGGGAGTTTAGAGAGGGGAACTTAGTTCAGGGAAGTGAGTTCCTTTAGCAGCCGATTGAGGTAGAATGTAACAGTTTATGAGAAGAGAAGGCATGTACTCTTTTGAGAGAGGGCTGGCTTGTAGAGCGACCCTGCAAAGACAAGCCAGGTTATAGGCCATAGAAACATTGGAGGGCCACACAGGGACTACTGTGGCTCCACTCACTGTCCTCGAGTTGATCCCATTCTGTGATGCCAAAGGCCAGGCGAGAACTGTCTTTGGGTTTCTCGGAGTCTCCTCTCTCTCCTATAGAGCTGTTGGGGGGTCCACTGCTGACCTTGTGGAGAGCAGCTCAATGAGCTGAACATTTAAAACCTTCTTTTCAGATCTTCTGTCTACATGGTGGCCTCTCACCGTCCATAGATACACTGGATCACATCAGAGCGCTTGACCGCCTACAAGAAGTTCCTCATGAGGTAATGAATGACTTATTTGCTAATAAAATCTTTTCAGAAAACTTTCCTTGGGAGAGGAAATGCAACGGCAAGTTAGTTCATTGTATGTGTTAACTCCTGTAATTCTGGCATCGCCCATGAAGTTAGTTAGTTAGTGCAGTAAACTTATCAGCCCCATGTTTTCAGAAGATTGCAAAACTAAGGGTGGTCTTCAGAGCCTTGGCTCTAAGCACTAAATAACACTGCTTGGCATTGAGATTTATATCCTATAGTCAGATTAAGTTGTTTGGCCCTGTTGCTGTTGGGGCTTGTTGCTGTAGACTGCCTCGTGGGAACACCTGAAAGTTGCACTTTGACTTGTGCTAGTGTCAGGACATGGGTATTTTATTTTAATGGTAACTTTTGTTGTTCCATTCACCAGACACCATTCGGATGGTGCAGTATAATAGTGCAGCTTCCAATGAGTTACTCAAATGCTAGCTTGGCCCTTTTCACGTATTTATGAGGCCAGTTATCCTTGGATTTGTGTTTCAGGGCCCAATGTGTGACTTGCTGTGGTCAGATCCAGATGACCGAGGTGGTTGGGGGATATCTCCTCGAGGAGCGGGCTACACCTTTGGACAAGATATTTCTGAGACATTCAATCATGCCAATGGCCTTACGTTGGTGTCGAGAGCTCACCAACTGGTAATGGAGGTATGTTCTGATCTTTGATATGTGATTTGCTCTTTAGTAAATTTAAGGAAGGAGTTTAGAATTGATGGTATGATTGAGAACACTCATGCATGCCTTCTGATGAATTTGTCTTCAAAACCTGAGTCCTTGCAGTAGATGGAAATAACTGAAATAACATTGTTAATGTGTTTTCAGAAAATTCTTGTGTGTGTGCGCGTGCATTTCCAATTTTATTTTCTTTTTAAGCATTTCATTGGGGGCTCGTACAACTCATCTCAATCCATACATAAATCCATTGTGTCAAGCACTTTTGTACATTTGTTTCCCTCATTATTCTCAAAACACTTGCTTTCTACTTGAGCCCTTGATATCAGCTCTCCCTCTCCTATGAATCCTTGATAATTTATAAATTATTACTATTTTTTCATGTCTTACACTGTCCAACGTCTCCCATCACCCCCTTCTCCGCTGTCCGTCCCCCAGCGAGGAGGTTATATGTAGATCCTTGTAATCTGTTCCCCCTTTCTCCCTCCTCTTCTCTCCACCTTCCTGGTATCGCCACTCACTACTACTGGTCCTGAGGGGGAGAATTCTTAAATGCTTTAGAAGTACTTGCAACTCAAGGGCAAGAAAGGAAGCGGTGGGGAAAGGATGTAACATTTTTGTCATCCTGATTCTATTTAACTACATGTCTGGGGAGTAGAGTGGAGATTGGGAAGAAATAACCATAATATTTACAGAGTTCCTCTGGGTGCTAGGATTGTAGGTGATTTGAAAGAGCATCGGCAACAGAGGAAACCGTCTTTATTTCTTAACATCGTACATAACTGATTAGCATATTTTGAAAATATGGTTTATTTAAATTAATGCTAATAGTAATGTGGTGTATCAGTAAAGTGTGACTTGCTGAAAGAAATTTGTGAACAGTACTTACAAAGTAGATGTTGTGTTCAGGTGGACTTGAGGTGGGCTGGGGTGCCGGAAGACCCTAGAGGCATCTTTCCTTTGTGCCTGGGCTGACACCAACTTAAGAGCCAGGGCGTGACTGATTAGAGAATAAGATTTGGTCTCTGCATTGGGCCTCCACTCAAGTACTCCCTCAACACAAGAATACTTTCTTCTAGTAAATTGGCATTCTATGATGCTCACCTTCCCGACACA